AACCTCATCCCTTTGGAATCAGCAAGATCATGGAGTTCCAACCCCCTGCTGTGGACAGGGACACTTTGCACTAGACCAAGTTGCTCAGAGCTCCATCCAGCCTGGCCTTGAGCACTTTGAGGGATGGGACATCCCCAGCTTCTCTGGGCAACATGTTCCAGTGCCTCATCACCCTCAGAGTAAATGATTTACTACATCTTGGAGGGGCTTTCATTAATTAAGGGACTATTAATGAAGTCTCAGTGCATACTGCTGGCAAGTGCCATGAAGGGAGAGAATGAGACCAGTTCACAGCCATTTTTAATACTACGCATGGGAGAAGTTACACATTAGCTTTCAACTGTTCTGTCACATTCTATAATCGATAGTTTGGCACAGTTGCACATTGGTAATACAGCAGAAATGGTTTCACAGTAAAACATTAATACAAATAGCAACACCTAGCCAGAGTTCCCTCCCTCACATACTCATGTGTGCATTCACTGTGTGTGATAAAAAAGGCACAGTCACCTGCAGCATAAATCCAGCTGACAGAATAAAATTACTCTTGACAAGTATGTCCCCTTTCACTTAAGGTTTTGAAAAACAACATACTAAAGATTCAGGATGTAGTGTGTCTAGAAGTTACAGTGCTCACAGTAGCAGACAGAGTTTATTTTGCATGCATAATGGAGGGGAGAAAAGGCAATAGGACTCATTCTTTTGAAATCAGAATTACACCACCTAATGCTCAAATCACATTGAAGCAATTATGACCAGACTTACAAAAATAGCAGGTTTTTAAAAACATGTTCAAAGAGTATTTGCATGAGTTTAATTTACAGTCTGTCCTGTGGAAAATTTCAGACAGACAGACAGACAGACTTCTGCTTGCAGCCTTGTTAAACTCTGCGCCTAAATGTTCATCTCAAGTAGAAAGGGCTCCTCACAGGTAACTGTAACCTAAGAGCTCAACTTATCTTTGTAAAAATGATTTCTTTTATTGAGGGCAGGCAAGAAGAAAGGTGAAAAATGTTCATAACAAGGTTGTTTTGTTTTCTCATACTCCTTCCTGGTTAACCTGGAAGAAGGGATAGTGTCTACCCTGTTCTGGTTTTTTTCAATTTACTGTCCAGATGAACTGTTACGGTTCTGTTAAAAAAACAAACTTGCTAATTAGAAGAGATCCACATACGTCCCCCAATATGCAGATCTAGGCTTTGGTGAGGAACACACAGTAAGAGCCCAAAGCCTTCTGTCGTAGGCTTGACTGCAAGTAGGTTCTGATTCCACTGCACAAGGCAGTGTCTTGACTTCATTAAACATATTTACATACTATTTTGAACAAAGACTTTTGTGTTGTGATTGTCTATCAGGCACAATTGCTACACATCCCACATAAGAAAACTCTTTTGAATTTCATCACCAATCCTGTAATTCTCAACTATATGGAAGATGATGGGGAATGAAGAAGCTCTTAAACTTTATTTTTTTTTTAACAGCATCACAAACAATTAAAAGGCCAAAATACACAATATTAAATAGAAAATCTAAAATTAAGTTGCTGGTATTCAGTGAAAAAACCTGAGGTATATAAAATATTTTTACAATTGTGTGTAAATTCGCAATAGTTTTCAAAGGTGCTTTTCCATTTTCAGCTAGTGGTTCATAGTCCAAGTGATCTTCCTGTATATAAGTAGCCATGTAATTGTGGCCAACTGAACACAATGCATTTAACAGCTAATGGTTCTTCAGAACACTTTTTTCCTTAAATATTACATTTATTGTAACAGCAGTAATGTAGTAAAATACAACTATACCCAAAACAACTCATGATCTTTGTTTGATGTATCACTTTCACTGTTAAAAATGAAAAATTACATTTTTTTTTAACTTTACTTTGGATGTTGACACATGAAAAGCACACTGAGCATTAGCTCAGACGTAGGAAATTGTCAGGACTTATCCTAGAGAAAACAAGGTGTAAAGCAGAAAAATTAATGGCAGTGCCAAGTATTTTTTTTCTCCTCCCACATTGTATTGGCAACTGATAAAAGCCCTCAAAGATAATGTTAAAGATAATAATTACGCTGGACTTCTAAAAAAAGTTTTAAAGTTACAAAACTAGAGAGCTTTTGGCTGAGCATTTCCCTGAGTCTTCATTTTTAAAAAATCATGTTAGACATCATGTGCATAGAATTGTTGCAAAGGCCTTGATTAATAAAGGCTGTTTAGCTATATATGCAAAAGTTAGGTACTGCTATTCTTATAAAGCCTAAGCAAGAACTGCTGAGGAAGCAATTTTATTCTTCAGAATCTGTTATTTTTCCTAAGGAGAAAAGCATACTTTTGCATTAAGACTCTGATAATTTGAAATTGCACCACACGATTTGTGAACAAGTCTAACAGGGATATCTTTTGGAGCAAGATCGAAACAAGAAACTCTGGGACTGCTGCACAGTTATAAAAACTTTGGTTTTTGTAGCATTTTATGAGACAATAGAAGGCACAACTGTGCATCAAAACTACACGATTTTGTATTTTAATCTGCTTACATTGTTTTCATCAGCATATCAGACCTTCTGCAAGTCTTTACCTAAAGATGTGTTTTAGTAACAGGAATTAGTTAGCTGTAATAAGGTATCTGTATTATGTAAATGCAAGAAGGCTATTTAGCAAGAAGGCATCATTGAAAAAGGTACATTCAACAACAGATTAACTGATGTCCATCCACTAAAAATTCACCATTCTAGCTCTACAGGGTACTCTCCAGTGAGACATGCTGTGCAATGACCAATCTTTCCAATAAATGACTTCTGGGTTTTAGGGTTGTTCTCTTTTCTTGCTTTGATGCTTTCTTGCACAGACGATACCAGCCCTTCCACAGAAAGATAGACAACACTGTCTGCTCCTGCAGGAAATAAAAATTCATCAGTTAAAGCTGCAATATTGTACCACATACAATGCTCTTTGGAAATGCAATTGCATTATTTTATGGATTATGATGCCAGGTAGATCACCTTACCCAAAGACAATGACTCTGAAAAATTATCAGATCATAATATGCCTTGCCCTTCTCCAGATTTTCTAGCAGTAGGGAAGTCTTATAGCCTTTTCACATTAGTTTTCTATAATTTAAACTCATCATGTGGTGAGCAATACTTAAAAATGAAATCCTAGAAACCTGAAATATTGCAACATGTCTTCACAATAATTTTAGGGAAAAGAATTCATTGCAGTATTAGGTAGTGAGAGTAAGTATTTAACACAGGAAATCATAGTTTACAGTGCAACGTACACTTGATTCTTCTTGTGTTTTGCTGCAAGCATGACTCATGATTTGAGGCTTTTAAGATTCTTTTGTTTCAAATATAATTTCTTTCAAAGTGAAATATATAATGCCGTTAAAATTATTTACATAAATTTCTATTTGTAGAAAAATCAGTGGGTGTTTACAAATTCTGAACATATTTTTATGGATATCTCATGAAAGGGACACTACATCTGCTTTTCATTATAGGACAGATTTTCACCACTTATTTTCTTCCTGCTATTTTGACTGCAGTAGCTCGTTTATTGTGAAGTTTCCCAGATGGAGCTTTAAGTATTGGAAAGCTTTGTTGTCACACTTTATTTGTAACTTATGCTTATGCAATGATTCTAACACTTTATATTGTTTTGACAAATATGGTTCCCTAACAGTGTTTTAAAAAAGTGTGTAGCTAAATTGGTTTTATCCATAGGGTACACACAATACAGACACCCAGTTTACCCATTTGACAATTCTTTTTGTCACTTTTGCCACTGTTGCCTTGATGTGTTTTGCTTTATTTTGAAGCAGATAATAAAATACCTACAGGTATAAACTCTCTCTCAAAAATGACCCAAAGGAAAGCAGCATTTACCTATATAGTTTGCAAGATCATGAAATTCAGGTCTGTTGGCAATGAGCTCTTCTTTAGTTGGAATGTTTATTCCCATGTAACAAGGAAATCTTATGGGAGGTGAAGCCACACGGATGTGCACCTGAATAAAAGCACAGTGTCAAAACATACTGCTGTAAGGTGATGGTCAGCAGATCATAACACAATAGCAAAGTCCCAGTTCTGCAAAATGATTTTCAAGAACAGAACACAGCACTGCACAGAAGTCATGGATGGGTTAAAGGTAAGATGAAGTTTTTTTCAGATGCCAATACAGAAGGAAAAAGAAAGACCATAATAGAATTTATTTTTTTACAGGACTGCCTAATGTTCTTCAAAGGTTCCACTCTGATTTTGTTTTTCTGCTATGGTGTTCAGTCCTTGATGTACAAGTTTCAGTTTACAAAGTCAAACATTATACAGAACATTTTTGCTCCAGTGACAGACTTGCACACTTGTTTTGATTAAAAAATCTTTAGCAATTAAAAAATTGGTGCTTTGGTGACTTAAGGCATGTGGTATTTACAGTAGTGTGTGGTTGTACTTTAAGTAGTTCCACAAGTCAAACATCAGGAATACCTGATTTTCTCACCTTAACTAATTTGTTTTCCATTCTCTCTTTATTTGCCAGATAGTACATTTCAAGTGGAGACCTCTCCCCTTAATCACCCAAACGACACAGTCATACAGAAGTACCTTCTTATCCTATGTTCACAATAAACATGCACTAGCCATTGGTTTTTTTGGACACTTGCAACAAACGTTTTGCACTTTTAAGTAAGGAAACAATGTCTAGTACAGATGAAAACAAACCCCTGTGCTTTACCCTCCCATCAACTTCTATTTACACCTGTTTTGTACTGACTGAAGGCTAACTTACCTCTTTGGCTCCTGATTCTCTCAGTAGTTTTATTATGGGTGAAATGGTATTGCCCCTCACAATTGAATCATCAATGATAACAACTCGTTTGCCTTTGAAGTTATCAGACAGAACACCAAACTTCTTTGCCACACCAAGCTGCCGTAATCTCATATTTGGCTGGATAAAGGTTCTCCCTACATACCGATTTTTACAGAGTACTTCAACATATGGTAGTCCACACTGCAGACAGGAGACAGTTAAACAGAATTCATACATAAGGACTGGTTATTCTCAGGCACGGTCTTTTTCAAGCAACCTTAGGACTTAGCATGACTTCACAGTAACCAAAAAACCTTCAAATATAGAGGAATAACAACAAAAAAGACCCAAGGCAGGTGACTCAACAGCAGTACCCTGAGTACTGACGACATAGATCTCCATCAATACACAACTCTAATGGCCCATACTGGGGGGGAATCAATACACAACTCTAATGGCCCATACCATTATACTTCATTACAAAGAGATATACTTGGGGGGGGAAAAAAAAAAGGGCAAGTATAACATGTACCTTTTGAGCATAACCAAGAGCTGCTGGGGTTGCAGACTCTGGGACAGTGCTGACCAGGTCTGCTTCCACAGGTGCTTCAATAGCAAGCTGCTGCCCACATCTTTTCCGGACTGAATACACCATCTGACCTAAGAACAGCAAGAAGTGTTTTTCTTAGTATGAATAATTCAGATTTCCTCTCAGTTTGCTGTACAAATTTTTGTGGCAAGTTGCAGGCATAGAAGTCAGTGAGAAAAGCTCCAGAACTAATAGGCAATCACTTGCATAAGGTAACTTTTTATTTCTTTCCATAATGTCATATTCTAACATTCACATTTGTATCACTACAGAGAGAATTAAAATCCAGTTTTCCCTAATTGGGTAGCTAACTAAAGGTCCTGTGGATGTTACGAAATCTGTTTTCAGGAGGAAAGAAATAGAAATTATGCCTGTCTGCTCTTAACATGGATACTCTATTTTTAGAGTGTGTTTTCCAACAGACAGAATTTGTGCAATCCTGCTGTCTACCTCTGTCTGCATATTAACTTTGAATCAGTTGGCAAAATTCACCCCAAATTTAGTAAGGGGATAAGAGGCCTCAGAAATTTTTAAGGTCCTAAAAAATCTAGAACTACCTGACAGGAGGTTGGAGTCACGTGGGGGTTGGTCTCTTCTCCCAGGCAACCAGCAGCAGGACAAGAGGGCAGAGACTCTGCCAGGGGAGGGTTAGGTTGGATATTAGGAGGAGATTTTTTACAGAGAGAGTGCTCAGGCATTGGAATGTGCTGCCCAGGGAGGTGGTGGATTCACCATCCCTGGAGGTTTTCAAGATGAGACTGGATGTGGCACTTAGTGCCATGGTCTAGTGACCACAGTAGGGTTGGATTCAATCATCTTTGAGGTCTCTTCCAACTCTGTTTATTCTATGAACTGGAATTACTGTGATGAGATGAGGCACAGCAAAGGGTACAGCAGCAGTACTAAGGCATGTAAGAAGTGAGAGAGGGGTGAGAGGATTGTGAAAAAAGGAATTCAGGGTGATAACTGGCTTTATAAGGGTGGAGAACTGTATTGGATCAACGGAGGGCATGTCCATAGGAAGCAATGAAGAGCTTGTTTGTTAGGTATGAAAGTCCTGGCTAATATCTTGTCACTGAACAATTTTTGAGGGCTTCTATTGAAATAATAATAAAAGAATTAGACTGACAACCCCAAGTACATAGATAATGCATAGATTTACAAGTTAAATTAAAAGCATCTTCCTGAAATAACACTTTCTTGGCAAGACAACATCAAAATAAAAGTCATTTTGCAAACCCTATTTCATAAGTCTAATTTTGAAAAAGTTTTCCAATAACCAATAAAGTTCCTTTCTTAAGTCTCTCATTTTAAGAGAGATTTCCTCTAGCCCTTCCATAGGATTATGCAGACAGGCTGTCTGAGGCTGTATGCACAACCAGGAACAGGAAGGTGATGTTACATGCTCCTGCTGATGAGTTTTATGTCAAGCTGTGCCAACCCATTCTGTCTCAGCTGTGGTCTGCAAGCTTACAGTCAGTGGTACCCTACCATGATCCCAGGTAATTTCCAGAGTCACTGTGCTCCAGGATAACATCTCCCACTATTTAAGGAGGAGCTCTGTACATTACATCTTTGTACCTTCAAAAATACTGTCTGGTCTTGCAAAATAAACATATTCAAAGATGCAGAATGCTGATGGATCTCCTTCAGGTCTTCGTACAACATCCAGCGTCTGCACATCATATCTGGATATTTTCACAATCTCTCCAGGAAGGACCTCACGATAGTACCTTGAAAGATAATTACATAACAGTTAGAAATGTCCTGAACCTGGATGATAGCTTTGAAGTATAAACAAGATTCAACTAACAGGAAAAAAATGCTTTCAAATATCCTAACATGACAATTTGCTTCTATCTTAAGGATTTGACCTGGAATATTTTAAGACCAACATGCTAAGACAACTGACCCTTCTAAAACAGCCTGAATTAATACCCAAAATCAGTAAATTAATACTTAGTACCAGGGGATTATGGTATTCTTCCTATGTGTGAGACATACAGTACAGGCTTAATTGAGATTGAATATATTTTAATAATATAGTCCTGAATCAATACTAGAGAACTTTTCTGTGAAAGCTAATAAACCTTACAATCCAATATATGAAACATAATCTTTTCTTGCTTATGTTTCATATATTGGAGTCAAAAAACTCCTGCCTCACCAGCCAGTATCTAGAGAAATATCTGTCTAGAGATGACATACAGCTCCCCCCAAATAACAAAAAGCTGACTGAAATGTACATTCCAATTCTCCAATCTGAAGAAATACAGAACAGTATTAGGCTTATTATGTTACAGTGTTTACCCTTATTAAACAGTTTTCTAGATCCTTTAGCGAGTACTCAGGTGGCTATTCTAACAAATTCAATCTAAATCTATCCCAAAATATCGAAATATTCTGGAGATATGAATCAGAGGTGAGCAAATCTGTGTTTATTCACTGGCTGGATAATAGCAGCAGCAGGCAGCAACACTGGCTACAGTAGAAGTTTAGACAAAATTTCTTTCTAAAAAACCCACAGGTTTTCCTTGGCCAAGATACTCAGTTTTGGCCGATGGTCCTACATAAGATTCTCTTAACAGAGTTTTGAGGAAGTTTCAGAAAAGTTACTTTATTTCTAACAAGGAGGCTAGCTCATCAGACAGCATATGCTACAGCTCAGGTTAGTTGGAACTATCAATATAACTGTTCAGTAGTTGAACAATTATTTTGTAATGAAACGATACTGCTATAAATGAGGCTAAAATTAATAAGTTATATGCGTTGCCAGGTATAATGCAACAACTAAGAGGCATTTACTTTGCAACAGTAGTGTTGTCTTTCCAGTTACTTTCTGCAAACATAATCCTTCTTTTACAATAATCTGAGAATATAAACTGTACAAAAATAGGATGAGCAAAAGAAATCCTCCAAAACAAACTAATGCTTCATGTCCTTCATGTTGTTATAGACTATGATATTTGGCAATTTGAGATATAATGTTAAATCACTGCCTGAGGAGAACTTTCAGATCAAATGAGAATCAGAGCACTTACTCTGCACCGATTGACAAAAAGCTACAGGATTCAGAAGAGACAACCCATCCTTCTGTTTCAGTGTTATCTTTTCCTGAAATGAAAGATTTCAGTTAGAGCACACTATTCTTGCTACCATGATCTCCCCACAATTGCATTTCTGCTGCAATATCTGGCTTGCTATGGTTTAGGTTGCCAAGGGTGCAAGTAAAGACTGTTGTAATTTCTAACTAAAAGGCATATCATTCCACAGTTTCTGTAATATTATTTAAAATAACCCCCCAAATAATCTACCACATAAACATCACAAACCTGTTCTAGGCAGAAGTGGAAGTAACAGCATCATACACACAGTTCATGAAGACAGTTCAGGTAACTACTGTCATTATCCCTGCACTATATCAAACTTTTCCAGTTCTAGTTCAGTGACTTTATATGTACATAATTACCTTTGTTCACACATGAAACTCCTTATTTTTCCTATGCTAAATTAGTTGATAGATAGATCCTTTAGATTACAATGGATGCTGGATTGAACTCCAGTAAGGGAGAGTTTTGAGAGGCAACCACAGGAAAGACTGAATTGTGTAATCTAGGGTAGGAATTTTTGTATGCTTTAAAAAATCTGGATCATTTTTTGTTCTGATTAAAATTATCAAGTTTTCTAAAGATATGGAAGCATTTACTGCTTTGCCTTGGAATTATTTTGTTTTTAACAAATAAACGTATTTTAATCTCACCTAATGGAAAATGTTGATTTGCAGCTAAACAGGAACACAAATAATTTTTCCCATAAATTTTTCCCATATATATAATTTTTCCCATATATATAAACATATAGTGTTCCATTACCATACCACATGTGGCTGGGAGTGCCTGGAATTCAGAAACCAGACTTGTTTCTGGACTGGACATCATCCTGAGCAACTGACTTTAGGTGGCCCTGCTTAAGCAGAGGAGTTTGTGATAATATGGGGTTAAAATGTTTCTAAAATCGTGGTAGCTAAAGTAGGTCTTAGTGACGAGAATGAGCATTGTCTTAGTAGAATGATGTGAATCTACACCTGTGTACCTACCTGTATGTACCCACCTGGGGAGAATTATATAGCAATGTATGGGAAAAGAAACTCGAACTCATGCTTGGGTGAAATCGATATACACACAAGAGAACAATAGCAAAGTAATGATTAACGTATGATTATACAACAACTATGTAAAGAAAGGGTATAAAAATGTGTCCATCTCAAATCCATGTTGGAGTCAGATTTGGGTTTTTCTGTACCCCTGATTCCCAGAGCTCTTCAAGAAAAGCACCTGCATATAATCATCCAGTGATTATGTGTTTTCCATGCTAACATTTTGTCCACCCAGATGAGACCTTGTGGGTGCTGCTGAGGACTCTGCGACCTGATCGAGCTCCGGCCGGCACCGAGGGATTCTCGGGGAGCCCATCAGCACTGCAACCCTCCGCCGCTCCCAGCGTCCCTGGAGAGGTAAGGGGCTTTTATTTCTGGTCTGGTCTGGTCGCCTGCCAGTAAGTCGTGGTGAAAGCTCCACTTGGTTGAGCTAAGGAATTCCTGGTAAATGCCTAGGCGCCGTCCGTAAGTCAATTGCGAAAGCATTGCAGGTTCGGCAGCGGTGACTTGTAGCGGCAACATGGAGAAGCTCAAAAGGATTGTGGGTGGCAATGCCCCCATGCCGACTTCTCCTCTGCGGTGCTTATGAGCACGTTGGAAACAAGGTCATTTTGACCAAGGATTACGCAAGGATAAGCTGATTGATTATTGTAACAATTGGTGGCCGAAATACGTTTTGCAAAATGGGAAACAGTGGCCTTAAAATGGGTCTTTGCAATCTGACCTGATTTCTCATTTATTGTCGTTTTGTAAGCAGGAAGGAAAATTAGATGAAATTCCGTATATTATTTTTCTGTTTGCGGGAAAAACCAGAGTGGCTGACGGAGGGGGAGTTAATGATTGCTACAGTACCTAACAACAATAAATGTGTGGCCTGTGTCCAGGGGAAACGTTGTCTAGAACACCTGGCATTGAATGAGAGTCTATATCGGAAAGATGATATGGAGGGTGACTTGTTGGTAGCCCCCACAGCATCAAGGGAATCTAACCCTACCCCATCTGGCCTTATTTCACATGACCCCCTTACTCCTCCTACTGAAACTGATTTTCTTACCCCTTCTGCTCAAAGATACCCCCCCCACCTACACCTGCCCAAGGATACCCCCTTCTCCCACCTATGCCTCTCCGGGGTATCCTCCCCTCCCACCCCTGCCCTCTTCACCTGCTCATGGCACCCCTTTACTGCCTTTGTCCAGAGACAACCAAGGTTTAGTTACGACACAGAGACGTGGGGGAAGGGGTGCAGAAGGGGTGGATAGCAGTGAAAGTGATGAGGAGGGACCAGTAGCCCACCGCACACGATCCAAACTGGCCCCAGCTTGGCCTAAGATAGGAAAAGGCTTGTCAAAAACAGGAAAGAAAACCATAATCGCCCCTTTGAGACAGGGTGTGGGGGTGGATGGACTGTTTTTTGTAAAGGTACCCTTTTCCCCGGGAGATTTGGTAATATGAAAGCAGTCAGCCGGGACCTATAGAGAAAATCCTGATAAAGTAGCCAGGGTGGTGAAAATGATCATGCAAACTCAGAATCCAGACTGGGATGACATCCAAGTGATATTAGTTACTTAAATGGACTCTACCGAGAAGGAGATGATGCTTAGAGCAGCTAGGGAACGGGTGAGGGAAGATATTCGCCAAGGACTAGTGACAGGAAACCTAGATTATAAATAATTTTCCCACTGAGGACCCATTGTGGGACCCTAACGACCCATCAGGAGTAGACATGATGAGGCTAAAGAGATATCAAGAGTGGGTTCAGATAGGAGTTCAAAATGCTATACCTAAAACTATGAATTGGGCAAAATTGTATGAACTAAGAGAAAAAGGAATCCCCCATTGCATTTCTAGAGAGACTTAAAGAAGGACCTCCAAATAGACACAGAACAAACTAAAGTTCAGCTTGCTCTTATCTTTCTTGGTCAGTCACAAGATGGTATAAGGAAAAAGTTACAGAAACTGGAAGGGGGGGAGTTAAGAAGTCTGGACAAACTGCTTGAAGTAGCTTGGAAGGATTATAATAATAGAGAAAAGAAAATTAATAAAAAACAAGGGCAGTTCTTGGCAATAGTACAAGAGAAT